TCTCTCCAACTGATAACAATATGGTTGTATTTGCAGTGCCAGTCAGACCCGGAGCCTATACTAGACCTGTCGGGCTGTGAGTTGAATGCCATTACCGTTGAAATGCAGACAACGATCAAAATCTACGCCAAAACTGACTGCCGTTTCGACGAGAATCGCATTCAAGACTTTGCGGTCGATTCTGTGCAACACATGAGCCGTGTCTGCGCTCTACACCTGTCCTACAATCGGATCCATACCATCGGTCACCACATCTCGCAACTCATTCATCTTAAAGTTAGCAATCATTTTATTCATTACAATCATTTTAATTATAATTCATTTTTCTAATTTTATTGTAATTATAAATAATACAGAAAAAAGTAATTTAAAACTACCGTATTTACTAAAAGTATTAAACCTCTAGTTATACAATACAGCTAATATTTAGTATATTAATCTAACTGGATGTGATGGGGGGGGGTGTAGGGGTAGTGATCTAGTGATTAGTTAATTAGTATTATTAATTTATAAATTAGTCATATAACTGAAACTATGACTTAAAAATAATTATGTATCACAATAGGAGCTGTACTTAAGCCACAACCAGTTGTCATCGTTGCCGGACTCTATGGGCCGACTGCCGGCGCTTAAGATACTGGCCATTCGTGACAATCAATTCACGGCATTCCCCGATGCGGTCACCCGCTGTCCGGCCCTCACGTGCCTCGATATGGCCGACAATCTGGTGACCGCTCTTCCGGCCTCTCTATTGAGACTACGGCTCCTGAAGTCACTTCAATTGGAGGGCAATCCCATTGAGTCGCCGGCGCCTGATGTTTGCCGCCAGGGTTTGGACGCCATTGTCGACCATTTGCAACGAATGTATGGCAACGAAGATTGTGGTAACGGCTGTAATAATAACGGATCAGATGGCAATGAATGTCGAGGACTAGTGTCGGACAGTGGCGATGAAAAGGATCCGATTTTGGTATGATTTCAATCAATGTTTTTTAAGATATTTTTAATTGTATTTAGTTTTTAATATATGTTTTAATGACTTAT